TTTAATTACAAGCTATTTTATAAGATCTTTAGTTAAGTACATGTTATTATATTAACTATTACACTTATATTTAATGAAACGTAACCACTTTCAAAAGTGATATAATACCTACCTATACTAAATGTTTTATACAATACCCATTGAACTCTTTGGAACATAATACCGAGATTAACCTTTTGAGCATGTCTTTTTTTAAAATACATTTTTAAAGTAGTACCTATACATAAATTCAGTGTATTTTTATATCGTTTAAAAACATAAACCATGGAATTTCATTTTTAGAACATACCGAGGTTCGAAAGTTTTGAAGATTAAATCAGGTTTTTCTGTATTTAAAATATAATATATTATATTAATGTTTTATTTTTTATTGATTTTCTTTGAATTTATATAATAAATACTATTTTCTAGAACTTTTATAAATTATACCTAAAAATGATAATTTTATTATTATCCAAACGTTTTTAAATGTGTATTAATAATTTTATTTAATAGTATATTATGTGTATTATTAATTTTTAATTTTAAGTGAGAGATGAATGCATTGCATTTTTTATTTGTCAAAATTTTTTAGCTTGATAAAAAAATAACAAACATATAAAAAAAAATATGCTAGAAATATAGACTAATCAACCACACGTTTTTACTTACAGTAGATTTTTGAATGCAAAGATTTATCGCATATATTTTGTTTATTATTGTTTTATAAAAAATTATTTACGAGTAGTTTGAAAAATTAAAATTGTTTTTACTAAGATTAATAATTGTTTTTTTTATATTTATATTTAGAAAGCGATCTCATTCCCGGTCTAGGAACGTTTTTCGCTTGCCTATTATTGCACATGGAAATAGGGATTCTAATTGGCGTCGGCTTGAATTTGATATCGATTCTTTACCATGCGGCAAGACCTAAACTTTCAATTAGAGTAAATACGGTAAGGGATATGATTAAATTACTGTTTTTCAATTAATTACGTAATAAACGGTTGTACCAATTTTTCTCTAAGCTTTATAATTGTAGACAAAGTAATTATTAGAACCATGCGAATTACGATCGTAATTTAAAAAAGTTATATACAAATTGCAAAAATAAATATAACATATTTTTTGCTAAAACATGTTCACTCACTATTTTTTATATACCAATAAAATTGTGGACTCAGATTTCGATGTCGAAATTGTGAAAGTTAGGCAATTTGTTGTTGATATCGAGATTATTGTTAAATTATTTGAAAAAATACAAAGATGATTACATATCAGCATTAAAATTTTAAAGAATCGTTAAAACGAAACCGGTCAAAGATTATTTTAAATCACCTTAACTTATATAGCTTATTTTAAGTCCTGAAAAATGAAGAAAGAAAATATTTTTTTCCACAATTTTTTGATCACCTTTAAAGGTTACGTCAACAATTCATAAATAAATTATTAATGATAAAGTACGTGTCTGTAATGACTTTTTGTATTAGATTAATGAATTGAACATATTTTCTATTTGTCAGAAACTAGTATGTTTAGCTATTTTTCTTTATTACGACTGCAAACAATAATATAGAATATGATATTATGTATATGTACAATATTGTTTTTATTATTATTTTATTACAGACTAGAAGCGGTATTAATTATCTGATGATGACTCCAGACAGATGCTTGATATTTCCATCAGTCGATTATGTGAGAAAGATTATCATTAAACACAGCTTAAAACAAAATTTACCAGTAGTCATTGATTGTTCGCATATATACGGAGCAGATTTTACTGCTGCAAAGGTTTTCATCGGTTCTCTTCCATTCTCCCCATTGTTTAATATAATAATAATCATTATTTACACTTTTCGTTTCAGGTCATAGAATTGTTAACTATAGACTTTTCACGGAGAGGTCAGTTGTTATTTTTTTATAACCTAAAACCAAGCTTAGTCAATGTTTTTGAGGGAGTTCGTCCAAAAGACTTCAACATACGATTATTCTACGAGTTTCGAGAAATTGATCAACTGTTGCACAAACATATGACAATAAATAGCACTCCGGAGGATTGAGAATTATTAAATAACTTCAATATAAGATAATTTTGAACGTCGCATGCACAGCAGTTTTGATTGATAATTATAAAAATAAAATAAAAGTATTTTGTTAAGTATTAAATATTATAATAGTAATACATTGTAGTAAAAAAAATAACTCTAACCGGTAACTGTCACCTACTGGCTACTTTAATGGAATTTTCTCCTCGAAATAAATTAATAGTTTAAGTTGATTGAAGAAAAATTATTATGATAAATTGACGTGTATCCATACCACACGGTAAATGAGTAAATATTGATGAAATGTGTTTTTTATTCGAAAATTTGGGTTCGGCTAGGTTTGCATCCGAATTTGTTTTTGAAAACCTTATTCTTGTGCAACTGTAATGTTTAGAATAACGCACCGCATTTTTACGCTTTTCTTACATATAATAACACAGATATGCGGGGAAAGTGCAAAGTTGCCCTGCATAGTTCATACAATCGTACGTTATTATTACAACAACAAAATATAAGAAATATTTAGTAAGAATACAGCTTAAAATTATTACTTTTGATACCCTATTTTAATTTTTTATTTTTTTTTTTCATTATTTTTATTAATAAGGAATTCACGGTCACAAATTAGGGATAGAGGATTGAAGTTCTTATCAGTCATGAAACCAATGAACTTTTTAATATTATCATCATTACGTTGACGAGTGTAACAATGACTCATTGATTGGAATAAGAACAAGAAATGGATATTGAATAAAAACGCTATGACGCAAAAAACGAAAATCCACCGTAGAATACTCGTATAATGTAAATCGAATATTATGATGTTTTGTACGTCAGTCATCCAACTGGCATGTGGCATTAGGATAGCCAAGTGCAGTCTGGATTCATTTGGTGGATCTCGAGGGCCGATTTGTCTAATTATCTTAAAACACGCTGACCATGCGATCTAAATAGCGCTGATTCATTAAAAACTTTTTAACATTATCCATTTTTATTTTTTTACGTCAGTCAAATTAGCCACTTGGATAGAAAATTACAAAACAACAAACGAACACCAATAAACTCAGAATTGTTATATGAGCTGAATGAAACATTTAAAGTTATCCTGCCATGTTTTTAATCGAAATATTTACACTGTTTTTGTATTAAATTTTGAATTATATAAATTCGAACTATTCAATATTCATATAAATAATATGATCACAATATTAAATAGTAATTTTAAAAGTCAAAAACTCATACATTTTAAAATATAACAACAAAAGGTATATAGGTATCAACATACACTTATTCAATAATGGGTCGATATATCAATCTATTGTTGCAAAAATGTGCACACGATACGATAATAGTGAACAGAAATGCAGATGCGATTGCTAGTCATCTGAATAATTTCGATTTGTATGTTGTTAACCTAGTCTTTGATAGAAATGTTAACTGATAATTGTTGAAAACAAAGTAAAAAAAAATGTTTTTGAGTATAGTTTATGTATTATAAACAAAATAAAAAGTCCCGAATTACTGATTTATAACCATTGTACTTATAGCTAAGACTTTGATAATTAGAGACTATCATGCTACCATAATATGCTAAAAAAAAGGTGCACAACAGAGTATTTTTAAAAATTCACGTTTTAAAGAATTATAATATATTTAAGAATTATTAAAAAAAAATTAAAAAAAATTAAAAAATACTTGATTTATTGTTTTGTATCTATATCCGTTATTGCCCAATTGCTATTAAGATGGTATAAAAAATCACAATCCTTAACTCCTAACTGTCATTAGATACAATAGCATGTCTCAATAACTTAGGACTTCTCTAACTCAAAATAATTTTTAGTGTAATCACATGTATAAATATTTATGTAGATTACAAATATTTTTTTTTATCAGAACATAATTTGGGACTGAAAGGGATAATAACACGTTTAAAAAATGTGGATTCAACAATAAAAATATTTTGTTAGTAGGTACGTTATACATTTTTTATAACTCCGATTATTAATTTATTCATTAATAAAAAAAACTACAGTCAAGTTGTTAATAAGTAATAACCCATTGAAAAAAAATTTTAATAAAATTTTTATCTTGTAATCTGTATTATACATTTTATGGTGCTATATAAAACGATGAGGCGTTTATTATATTCAGCGCCAAGCGTTAAAATAATAATTAGTACATCATTAGTCATTACTATTATGTCATAACTACTTTAAAGTTAAAATTTTACATAAATAACACGACTTATTTCCTTACCGACCATAATATCTTTATTCTTTAGTAATATACTTATAATTACTAAATATTGCCAGAAATATATATAGGTATACATCGCATATTATTAAATCATATTTATAGAAAAATGTATAGTTGGTAATAGACGCAAATTATTAGACGCTTATACATTTCATGCCGTCTACATGTCTGATCAATACAGTAGGTAGTTAGTTGTTCGTTTAAAAGAAACTATTAGTGCTTTGCTTTGGAAAATAACAATATCAAATCGTTGCCGTGCTAGACATGTGATATTATAATATAATAAATTTAACCATCTTGTCACTAAACACACGCGGCGTATAATTGATAAGTGAGAGTTGTCGATATTGGCTAATTAAATATATCAACATGTTTTGCTCTAACATCATCTAATCAAGTCTACACACACACGCGCACGCGATGATCATCGGGATTACAGATTTGACTGCAAAAAGTGGAGTTATGTAACTATTGTCTCAAATATTATTTTAATCAAACTAATTAAAAATCTGTACGTTAACCACATTGTTCATCTGAATTGTCCATATTAATAAATAAGCCCTCTTTTAACTTTTGATCTTTATTTTTATTAATTTATTAAGACCAAGAATTCTTTTCGTGATGCCAATTAATTACTGTATTGTGTAATTATTTTGTTTTCCAATAATGATGGGTACACTGAAACAGTTAGTTCACACTATTGTGGCACGTACTTATAGTTAGAAGTGGCATTCATTATCAATGGTCGACATTTACAAATTCGAATATTCAACAGGTCTACACGTTAAAAAAATATACAGAAAATTAATATTAATTTTAATAATTGTACGCCGATAGTTATTAGTGAGTATTATTTGTTATTTACTTACATAATAACAAACCTATCATGGTAGAAATTATACCTTTTTATCAAATAATTTTATAGGTGTTTAATATCTTTATTGTACGTATACCGGATGATCCATTTAACGTAAGATATTATTATTTCAAAAATATAAATGTTTTTTAAGTCATTATTCTTTTTACATGATTTGAAGTTTTCAATAACATCATTTTTCTAAAAACCAAAAAAATGTTACAACCATTGTTATCGTTATTATTTTGTAATGACAACTAGAGTACTTCAATATACCTACAACAATTTCGAACAGATAATTTATGAGTTATAACTTACAAGTATTTAAAGTTTAGATGAGTATAGTGGAGTAACATAGCAACTTGAAATACTTATACCTATATAATAAACTATTTGTACAAAATTTGATTTTTATAGATTTTATAAACCAAAACACTCCAAATAATATTTTGCTCCAAAATATGAGATTAAAAATATTTGTTTTCATATAAAAAGGTAAAATGATAACGATAAAATAGTTAAAAATATCACCAAATGGATCACCCCGTAGAATTTCTCGAAAATTAAATATATTTTTAAATATGTAAACATTACGGGCTATTATAGATGCATTGGTAGTTATAATTACATTACTATAAAAAATAATACACACAATTTTAAAAAGTTCAAATTTTAACATTTAAATCTAGGATATCTGATCGTATAGTACGGTTCAAGTGTTCGAGTTATTTTATTACGTTATATAGATTTTGTCCATGTTATTTCTCTATTTTTTTTTTATTTTTTTTTTAATATTTTTTGACAGTAATATTATAGCCATATTTTTCATTCACAAAAATCTAGTTTATGATTAATACAATAATCGTTCTTAATTTATGCATAGTAAAAATGTTAACATAAAAAGTATTAGTAGTAATTAGTAGTTAATTACATATAAATGTATTTATATGCACTTTTCTTCGTGTATAATTTAATACTTAGTAAGATTTGTTTCGTAATAAAATCAACATTTTACAAAATACGTGCATACATTAATGTCAAAATTATGATATGTTGCGCGGATCACGTTTTATCGCGCTACAAAATATATTATTATCACGGAGAATGGGTTATCAACTGTGTTAAGTGTAACATATACCTCTGTAATACAATTGATAATTATAATGCAGAGAGTCAATTTAAAATTTAATTTTTTCTCGGATCATATAATAATTTTGAAAAAAAACATAAGGTTGTGTGATATACCACATAAAAAACTAATTTAAATAATATTTACAATAGAATTTGGGTGTACCTATCTGAGTATAATATATAAAATATTATAAAATTTATCAAATGAGAAATATTTTAATACCAGTGTCATTATTGTATGAGTAATTTCAAATCGGACAAACGATAATGATAAACATTAAGACATTAAACGTTTTGTATACATCATGATATTGCAAGTGTGTATGTCATATTATGATACATGCTATACAGTCGTATACAGTAGATAGGCAAGTATGCGTCTAAATAAATCAAATATGGTGCCAGAAAAAAAAAATGACACGATTATTTAGATAATTTCGTTAACAAGACCGTTATGCCAAATAATATGTCTGCACATTACAATCTCTACGACTTGCGTTTCGAAATAAATAGTCGATCGTTTTTCGAAATAAATCCTTGAAAGTTCACTTTTTACACTGCCTAATTTTCTCTACTTATATTGACATAGTTTTTTTTTTCAAATCGTTTATACTCGTATTTTTTTTTTTTGTTTTTTATACTTAACGTTATAATTTATAGGTAACCTACTACCTTCTATAGTATAGGAGGTATCCCACTCCGTCGAATTCAAATTCAACTATCACTTATAAACAAGTCACCTAACCGCTTGTGATAGTTTTACTATTAATTGATAATACATTAATACCTAATAAAAAGATTAGCGTTTTTATTACATTAAACAGTAACTATTTATTCTTATTTAAATATTTGTGTCTGTTCCACAATTTCTTGTGTATTTACATGGTCTCAGTCTCAAACGCTTTTATCACTGTTTTACAATAGAGTGTAGCTATAATATATATAATTTATGTCATTGGATATTGTGTGCTTATAGTTTGTAAATAAATGGACAACCTGAAGTATGAACACGACAATGGCCCACAACAAAATCCAACTGTTAACAATGGCAATTTGCAGTTAAATTATGATACACCAATCAACGATATTATCTGTGAGTATCACATAAAATACTAAATTACTTAAATCTCGATTTAACTGACTTTCGAAAAATGTATTTCAACTATGATAGTAACTAGATCAGTAAATTAAATTTGTACTAATTCAATTAATATTTAATAATATCATTTAAAGTACTAGAATATATTGAGAGAAGTCGATTTGATTTCAATATCGGTATTTTATCTAAAAATTTAAAATAGTGTTTTTTATTTTTAAAATATTATAAGTTCAACATAAATTAAGTAGTATTTATATAGTTATTACAGTTGTCTATACATCATTTTTATAAGGTAGGTGCACTCACGTAGACAATAATTTCGGTACATTTTTTTAATAATTTTGATCTTGGTTATTAATTTTATTTCTAGCCTTTAAAATAAGCTATATCGCTTTAGTATCGATATAGATATAATGATAATTCATCGTCATGAATTTTAGTTATATGTATATCAATCATTTTTAATTATATCATGAAATTGTAATTTTCAAAAATATTAAGAATGTAAACGTTGAGAATAAAGTATAGAACTCTAAATAAGTTAAATTTTACATTCACGATTCTAAAATTTTTAAGTATATTATACAATGTACTCGGTTATAATTTGATTGAAATTTATTACTGTCAAAATAAAATGAAATATTATAATCTAAAGTATAAATGCATTTTTATTTTTCTTAGTGACAGTGGATGACGTAGAATTGTCAAAATTTACTTCTAACCAGAAGAATACATTTATCCAACATACCAAAGACGTCTGTTTAAAAAATGTATCCAACTTTATCAAAAGAAAATTATTTATATTGCAATGGATTCCCATTTACTCAGGTGAAGACTTTCTTGGCGATCTCTTAGCCGGCATTACGATCGGCTTAACTGTAATACCTCAATCAATGGCATTAGCCAGCATAGCCGGCATACCAGCTCAGGTACATGAAAATTAGGTCCACTGCAATAGGTATCACGTTTTATACAGACATAATTGGGTAAAATTTAATTTTTACAGCAAATTAATATATATATTTTTTTTAAATAAAAATTTCGTAAAGTATTTTATACCATACTATACTTACATAACTTCATTGATAGAGTAAAATAATTAAAATAATATATATTTTTGAAAACAATTCATTGTTGTACATCAATAATATAACTATCAATACATAAATAAAATAAAATAAATAGAAAATTTTGTAATACTTCGATATTGTTCATACTTATTATATCTTTTTGTAATGATACGTATTTAACTGTGAATATAAATTGTGAAACATCACATATTTTGTACCAACTTTTTATAATTTAGTGAAAACAAAATTTATTTTCTAGTATGGTCTTTACAGTTCCTTTGTGGGAACATTTATTTACTTACTATTTGGCACAAGTAAAGTAGTCCCTATGGGACCCACCGCCATTGTGGCACTGTTAATTAACAACACAATCGGAAACCGAGGACCGGCGTACGCGACGCTGCTGTGCTTCCTGACGGGTTTCATTCAGGTACTGATGAGCTTCGCTGGCTTGGGGATCATCATCAATTTTATATCCGTACCGGTGTGCTCGGGATTCACGTCAGCTTCAGCCATTCTTGTCATTACTTCTCAAATGAAAGACCTGATCGGCGTCAAGGGTGGCGGCGGAAACCTATTGAAGATGTGCCGAACTGTATTGGAGCACATCAGTAATATCAGCATAGGAGACACGATCATGGGGATTGCATGCATAGGAACGGTTATGCTCTTGAAGGTATAAAATATTATATAATAGTGTATGGTAAGAATTTATACATCATTTCACTAAATACAAATTAAATATTACGTTTTATTATAAGTAATTCAAAACAAGAGCTTTTGTGACGATAAATAACTGGTTTAAGTATTGCACTGCATTGATAAGTATTAAGCATATATTGTTTAAATTTCAAATAATTTTATGCACATACCAAACTTGGTACACCTATAAGACTATACCTGTATACTATAATAAATTTAATTTTCATTTATCAAGAGTATATAATATTATACCTAATATTATACATACCTATTTATTTTATCATGTATTAATGTGTACATTTTAATTAAATATTAATTACAAACAATCAGGATAACACTATTTTTAGTGAACAATAATTTAAATGCAGTAATAGAGAATGTTATTATCTATGCATTGTGTATAATACTAGTGTTTATATAACTATATCATATAAATGAATAAACTCAATACTTTAACTATTATAAAATTATTATCTATAAGCACTTACAGTTATATTATATTGCTTGTTACACACATTTTTATAGATAATATCAACGCATATCATACATGGTTTCCATAAAACTTTAATACCTCTTAATTTCTAAACAAAATATTTAAATAATATAGATACTGAAAAGATGTATCTTCTTTATTTTTGACATATTAAAACAGACCTTGTAAATCCTTTACCACTTTCATTATTTTCATTGTTTTCTATCAGATAATATGATACTTGAGCTGAGTGTGTAATCTATTCTTATTATTATATCTCTCACCGTTATATCAAACTATCTCTGTGTATTTTGTTCTGTCCGGAGTTTCCAGCTGGATTTTTTTATAAGGTGCCATTCTACAAACTACGTACCTTACCCATTCTAATTTTTTCTACTTAGAAATTAACAGTTTGCCATAAATTATTTTTATATTGTCGGTGTTTCTCATTTAAAAAACTTTTAAATTCTTTCTTAGCTTTTTATTTGAAAACATAGCTGTTATTTATATTTACCCGTGTTGTACACTCGTATGGTACTATGAAGCGCAACTAAAGGGTAGGCTGGGTGAGCTGAGCCCCACGAGTTACTGTTACCATGAATAATTTAACACATGACAAATAAATTTCAAGTGTGCTTATAAGCCATACGTATATGTAATATATAACTTCTGATATCGTACATTACTGGCAATAAGTGTTAACATACATTTTATTGCAGCGATATGGTATATCTATAATTATTTAAAATTTAAAATAATATATCATGTTGAGTGTTTATTAATTGTAATATAATTAATTTTTTTTAAGACGTCTGAAATAGCTAATAAAATTATTAAGAGTGTTTTTCCAACCGTAATTTTACTATAAATATATAACAATGAATAATTATATATTTTTTAATTAGGCATTTAGTACAAAGCGGATAGGTCCAAAAGAAGAAGAATTACAAACCACGTTGCAAAAAAATGTAAACAAGCTCATCTGGGCGATCGGTGCATTTAGAAATTCATTTGTAGTTATCGTATGTAGTATTATTTGTTATTGGTGTGTACATAAGACAAACCATGATATCACATCAGATTGGGCACCACCAATCCCGTTCAAAATCATCGGTATGTAAATTACCAATCTGTACTTTGTGCATTATATAATATAATAAATAAAGTTAAACGTTATTTAGTAGGTACGTACAATATGGTAAAAATACTTAAAATATTGATATCAAAACAAATAACTAATTTACGAATATCATATTTGAGAGTATAAATTATTATATATTTTCAATAAATTCTTTAATACAAAAAATGTTATTATAATAATTTTAAATTAGAGAACGAATTACTTTTAAAAAAATTGCTTGCATGCACAATGTTAGTAAATTTTCGTAATTAAATTTATTATTAGTTACAATATATAAAAATACCAAACTATGTACAATAATGATCTATATAATATATATTATATTCAATACTTAAAAACATTTAACTGTAAGCAATGCATCTTTTTTTACCATAAATTAGTAAATATACAAAATATTAAAACTAATGCATGAAAAAATTGTCATTATTTTTTATAACTTACTTGCAAAAAATGATCACAAACATAATATTTAAATAAATTAAAAAGGTACTTACTAGCAAATTAAATTCTTTCCTGATATCTAGGGATAACCTTATCAGTTTCTATTGAGTGTTAATAATTTTAAATAATATAAATTAGAATACAATTTATATTGAAATACTTAGTAAATTATTACAGTATCGATTAAAAGCTGTTTTATTGAATCCATATACTGTAACTAGTATAACTGTACAATATGCATTGAAGTATAGATTTTCCTAATTCCATTGAAACCTATCAAAACTAAAATATATATTTATTTCAAAATAGTCTACATAATATTGATTGTATACAGTATCAGTATATTAATTATATTTTAAAATTAAGTTTACAGTACACTTTATCTTAAAATATTATGAACTCTCTAATAATTTAATTATAATAACTACCAATTCCAATTCTAATTTATAAATCGTTTCTGTGAATTTTTCAAGGCAAAATACCCCACGGATTGCCGCATTTCCAGTGGCCAGAGTTTAGCAACACAAATGAAAGTTTTTTAGACATGATTTTCTTCATGGGCTCAGGCATTATTGTGATACCACTCATATCATTACTTGAAAACATATCCCTTTGTAGAACTTTTGGTAAGTCTTATATAAATATAATATAGTATATACATTTACCGTTATTATGTAAAAAGTGTAAAAAATAACTAAATTAAATATTACAATAAACAATTTGAAAGTTTTCTAATCGAGGGGGAAAGGCTCAAACCTAAATTGTCGATTATAGTTTAAAATAACAAAACAAGTATCAGAAATTCAGAATTATTGTTTATTTTACATTTTATTAGAGTAATAATTATAAATACCCCTAGTTCTGTATCTTTCCATTTTCCAATTAATCCGCTAATGAGTCATGATTCAACTATTATTAAAACACTTTTTACAATAACTACGGATTTTTAATAAAAGTATTTATAATTAATTTGATAAACCGTAGTATAATATTATATGCTACATTTATTATTATATTTTACACAATTTCTAGGCGAATTTTTAACATTATATTTCTAACCTTACTTTGTTCGAATATATTTTACAAATTTTTCGGATAAAAATTAAACTAATGTGTATATTTTAGCGGAAGGTAAACCAATAGATACGGACCAAGAATTATTGGCAATCGGTATGGCGAACATCGGCAATTCCTTCTTTCACGGTTTTACTGGGTCTGGAGCTATCGCTAGAGGAGCACTCAACTATTCGAGTGGCGTGCGCACGCCCTTAGGAGGCTTGTACACAGGTAAATTTTTTTTTACGAACAATTTATGTAAAGATATGTTGTTGCACCATCACGTGTTTGCCAAAAAATTGTAATGGAATTTAAAGTTTAGGACTTACTGTTATGGCGGCATTGGTGTTTTTGACACCATATTTCTATTATATACCGAAGACCTCGCTAGCGGCCGTTATAATCGCTGCCTCATTTATGATGGTCGATGTCAAGATGGTCAAGTACGTTTACAAATCAAAAAGTACGTATATTATGAATATTTTACGATCACGAATTATAATTACACAATACACATATATAATGATATAATGATCGTAAAAATTGGAAAATACGAAAATTCGTAATACTTATGAAATACAATTAGTGCACGCGTAGTTAATTGTTTATAATTTTCCAACAAGTATTATAAGTAATTATAACTACGCTCGTGCCTCCTCCGACGAATAAATTATAAATAATAATAAAATTTAACACGTTTTTACTTTTGGAAAAAATTGAGGATTATCTATAGGTGCTTTTAAAGAATGGTCAAAAAAATTGACCAGAATATATATCAAAGAATACTACGCTTATATATGGACTTGAATGTAGGAAAGAAATAAACTAAAAAAATAAAGTCTCCAGAAAAAAATCTTCATGACAACTATACTTCATAATATTAATAAGTACATAGCCATAGTCATCCATATATAGTTATCTATATGTATTTGCATATTTTTACATCATAATAGTCAGTTACCATTGTATAAGTTATCAATAAGTAATAGATATAATATAACAAATGATTATACAGGGAATATAATAATTTATAAATTAAACATTGTTAAAACTAATGTTCGCGGAAAATATTAATTTTTTTAATAGCGATATCTATTTTGATCACCATAATCAGATAAACCTAATTTTTTAAGTAATTTTGATTTATCAATTATGGTTCTAAATTAAAAATTGACTGAATCAAAGCCATTTCCTTTTTAATAAATAAGTACATTTTTGCGATTCATAAACGAGTTTATTTATGAATGTATAAAATTATTTACAATTATTTATTATTGGTTCATTTCTGAATGTTTTTACATATTTTTTTTTTTTTAAATACGTAAAAACGGTATAAAAATTTTACACTATATTAAATGCCAAAATTATAATCAGTAATTATAAATAATATTATTTTTAAAATTCTTTACCAACCTATTATAAAAGTGATTTATTTTACTTAAATTTATAAATATTCAAACGCACGGTTATTAAAATACACAGACCCCTAAGAGCACAAGGATAAGAATACAGATACCCGACAATTCATTATACGTGTAACAGCAACCTCCGCATAAAAAATAATCTGTAAGTGATATTTAGATTTAAGTAATAGATAATATACTGATATTAAAATCTAACAAATATTCTTGATTCATTTTTATCAGTATAAGCGTAAAATAAACAACAAGACAGTTGGTCAACTATAAAAAAAAAAAAAAAATGAAACGCTTACCATTATGTGTAAAAGTAACGCCACACTGAGATTCAAATTCAGTTCCATAATTAATATATACTTACCGCGTAGAAATAAAAAAATAAAAATTGTTACAAATTTGAGAATATTTAAAAGTTTCAAAAATCAGAACTTGAATAAATTCATTATTAAATGGAAAATTGAAGTGAACTTGTTTGGTAAATTATTCTGAATGTAGGTATAGAGGTATTTATACTTGTTGGTACACGTCAATCGTAATACGCGATTTAAAAACAAAAGACATGATTATATATATTATTATTATTAGGTAGGTACTGTCATCAATGACATCACAATTCACAATTAATACTGCCCGCAGAAAAAGATTTGGTGCTCATGTTGATCACATTTTTCGCATGCTTGTTTCTTCCATTGGAATACGGCGTACTCATGGGCATCGTCGCGAACGTCGGGTTCATAATGTACAGTGCTGCTAAACCCAAAATATCCATCCAAGTTCAAAAGGTTGGATCCGTAGTGGACGTCAAAATTAAAAAATAACAATATTATTATAATAGTTATTATACATCAATCGTACCCATACGTATGATTTTGAGTAGTGAACTTGTTATTATTATTTTTTCATAGAACCGAAACGGGATAAAATACTTGTTGTTGACACCCGACAGATATTTAATATTCCCTTCGATGGAATACGTACGGCAAACGATAACCAAACACGGTCTCGCTCTTGGGATTCCAGTAGTCATCGACGGTTCCAATATATTCGAGGCAGATTTCACAACAGCAAACGTACGTACCACATATTACACGATAGTCGGGAGTAAGGAGTTTGCACGAGAAGTAGAGTTTGTAGCTGCGTACCTTGAAAACATTTCTTTTCAGAAATATAAAAAATAAATAACACTAATCACTATGACTTTTTGTCTTGATACACAAAAAAATATGTAGATAAATAAGAATAGATACGTGCAGTGGTTTTTTAGAGAGAGACCGCAAAGTAATGTGAAAGAGAGACAATGGTGTATCATTTTCAAATCAAACATTCTATAAAATATTTGTATTATCTATTTTAGCATTTCAAACGCTTAAATTAACGTTCAATGGTGGGGTGCAGAGGCGGGCCATCCATGCAATTTTCCGCAATCCATTCACCGCGCGACAAGTTACCGCCACTAATTTCATCCATAATATCACACATTACATCGATATATTAAAACTAACTCTATCGAAAGATCGTATAAAAAATTTTCATCCTTGAATTTAAAATTTATTGAAATGTTCAAAAAACATGGATTGTTCAACAATAAAATCCTTATTAAACAATAATAATTTATATTGTAACATTCCACAGTTATCAAAATAAAATATAAGGACTTTGATGAATTATTATAAACAGTGTGTGATAACTACAAAAATAGATAAGTAAAAGATTTTTAGAGCAGTTTAAAAATGTATAATATACTTCAATTGATTAAATTATAGTTAATTTTACTATAAATAATTAAAAGATTAATAAATTAAAATAAATTAATAAACAATTATTACACTTGACGAATTGAATAGTAAACGCGGTAAATTGTAGGCGGTGAACGCACCAATTCTGTGCATCCTCACTCAATATCCTGCCATAATCGAATCAATTTCAGAGTGTCGAGTGAAGTTACGAAGGAGAACTGATTTTCGTAGAGCCACGGATCGTTTTCTCCCAGGACAGAGTATATTTTCGCGGTGAATTGTCCGCGATCTGGTGGACGGCGTTCAGAATATCTTAAAAAGAGGATTGCACACGTCTATTATGTTGTGATATTATACTCGTAAATATCACATGATGCTTATCTACTCATATGTGCAACTCTAGAACATAGAATATTTAAGAAATCACAGATTAGTCAATCAGGTCTCGGATAAAATATCCAAATTGTTCAATGAACGGTTGACAGCTCAATATTGTGGTATTAAATAATTTTAAATAAAAATATTATCAATATTTATTTTGTTATTCTCAATAGTAAATGGTAAATGGCAATAATTTAATGTGAGAGTTCTGCTTAATTTTATCGATTTCTCATCTTTCAAACTGATTTTAAACTACAATAGCTAATTATTTACTACAAGCCAAACATAATTTTGGTAATATTAAATTTTATAATTTTTTTAATGATTTTCAGGTATTTTCTATGATGTCACAGGACTTTTTAAAAAAAGGTCAATTTCTATATTTATTTAATCTAAAACCCAGCGTAGCCAATGTCTTTAAAGGAATAAAAAATTGTAATATTTATTTATGTGCAAATAAAGACGAGTTAGACGAACTGCTAAGAAATCATTTGTAAGTATTTTCAACTTTTTATAAAACACCCATGCTCTAAGCGATGTTTATTTAATTGAAATATTTAATATTATTTTTTAGTGGACCGTCACAAATTCAAGAACAATATCAAAACGAAACAATTTGGACTACAAAAATGTAAACTTAAATTTAATGATCTCTAAATAAAATACAATATATTAAAATCAATTAAATTAAGGATGTGCTTGACAATTTAAGACTTAGATGTTTTGATAACAAAACGAGTTGAATGTAATTATTTGATCAAGATATGATATCATGTACAAATATAATCGACATGTTCTAGTACGTAAAATGAAACTTATAAGCCTATATTTTATTAAATTTTATAAAGGAGCGTATACTTATATACGAATTTTTATCAAACGGTGTTTTTTTTTTCATTGTGTATTTTATATTAATAAATAGATCAGTATTATTATAATATTTCATTGTCTTCGTGAAAAAAATCTACAATTGTTTTAAATCAAATTGAAAACCTATAATTTCCGAATTCAAAAAATATTAAAATATTAATAACTCACTCGTTTGGTTAGTAAAATACCATTTGTTCAGTTCATTATAAAAACTTTAATCCTTATAGGTCCCAATAATTTTAAATTCAACTATAATTTTTTACTTGATTATTATACTTAAAAATAAATACTCATGATATTTCTTCTATTAAAAAACTTTTCGTTTCTCAGTATCTCGCAAACCTCAACTATCTCATTTTTTAAATTATAACACTAAGCGCAGTTTTCCTGTACAACAAAAAATATTGTCCCACGGCGTTTTATGTAGACAATTTAGCAACACTTCTGTCATGACTCATGAGCCTATATACAATTATAAAAATAATTTATAATAATATAACTATTATTGTCTATACACAATTGTAATAATTTAAAAAGACGTTATAATATTTTATATATCGGGGTTCGATTATATGCCTTTAAATTAATTACAAATCAATATATTACCCTTCTTCTTTTAACGGCGACTTCTCTATTAATGCTGTAGTGAAGATTGAGTATGGCCGTAACACGTTTGGACATAAAACGATATTTTTACCTGAGATTCGGTAGAACGATTGGGATCACACATTTAGATACACTTTTTTTCAGACCCCAAAAATCAATACAACGTTTGGGTAACAAAATATTTTTAAAATAATACTACATTTGGATACCAATGTTTAGGTGCAAATTTTTTACTTTTATACTTTTACACTTTATTTTTAAAACTTATTAGAGTTACCCAAGAGACACTGCGAGGATTCATATTCTCCCAAAAATGTTTATTATTTTATTTTTATCATTAATTATTTTATCTTACATATGATAATATGATAACAAGTATATATATTACGTATAAGTTCGTAGTCGCATATACTACGATAATACTCATAGAATATCTAATCAAAATAATATAAGTAGGTAATTGATATTAATTGGTTTAGAAATAAAGTATATCACTATCGTAGATCACGTGTTTATAAAGTGTACCCTAAGGTGTCTTGTATAATATGTGTATTTTGTACCCAAACATTCTCTGATTTACCAAGTAAAATTATAAAATACCTTTTATTTTATGTGTCCAAACATTCAACGGTCCGAGTATGTAGTAAGGTAACCAGTGTATATTAAATAATTACAAGACTTAAATAAACTTATTAACTTTATTGTAGTTTTTCAATACATGAATTATTTAATAAATATTTAATTTTAACTATGAACAACTTTAACACTTACGTCTTCTTGTATATCCGATCTGCATAGTTTTTTACACTCGCTTGTGATCGTCTATATAAAAAGATGGTAAGAACACTTTTCCTTTTAACCAGCGGTGACCGACCTTTTTATAGCTAATGTCTTGTATGTGTGTGCGTGTGTATGTGTGCTATCTATTGTTCTTATAATTTTATCTTATTTAATACTAACGACTTATAACTATAGGTTATCATAATTGTTTTAAATTATTTTATTATACTGTATTTAAATATTTAATTTTAATTATATATAATTGCTTAGACGCACATCATTACATAATGTTTATAGTTTAATGTTTAATATTTTATAATATTTTATTATTTACATTTTACTTGACAGCTTATATTAGAATAACGATTAAAATTTAAATATAAACTATTTCTATTTTAAGTGGTGTTTTAAATGACGTTTATATTAGGTGAACGCTACTGTTAGACCAACACCCCTCTTGAGAAAACTCGCAGCCTAGTTACTAATATCTTTTAAAAATATGAAAATACAATAATTTAAATTATTTTCGATTAAACGTCTATAATTTTGTAAATATTAAAATTATAAACATTTAATATTTAATTGAATCTTTATAATAAATAATTTCTATGGATAATCAACATAATGTTAATAATATTATATGCTTAATTATAATAACAAACTTTTAAAATTAACATACAGTATTTTAATTTATCGTGTTATATATAGTGATTATAATATAATTTGATATAATTATTACATACTATTTTGAATTCAGTAATTCGCAAAAAATTTTGAAATATAAAGCAAAACATACGAGACTGGTACCTACCTACTTTAAAATACACTGTGATGATAAGTATAAGTTTTAAATTATAGCTTTATATGTTTTAAACTTTTATGTAGCCTCCAAAAATGCAAAATAATTCCTTTATAATACATATAAATCCACAAATATTTTATTTATACTTTATAGCCATAAGTCCGAGAGTAACATCGGACTATCGAAGGTAAAAATAATCTTGCGTAATACGTAGAATATATTTGTCCTCAGGAGCTATTATGCACCTAAATAAGCTCTTCAAAGATGTCTCTTACCCATACGTAAATACATAGTTTTAATATATTGTTATAAATTTTAATATTATGATAAAAATGATACGTATAAGACAAGGTTAAACAACTTAAAGTTACTATTGAAAATACATTTTTTAAAACTTTGAAAAATAACGGGCCAAAGAACATAGACAACAATAAAAGGTCATAAAATATATTAAAATCTACAGTTAATATTTATTTATTTATTTTTACAATCAATTTAAATATCAGATTTGAGGATGTGTAGCTGCAAATGATAATTTAGCAGAATTGACTTTTACTGTTTTGTAGTAACTCTTTATGAGATTTCCTAGAGTTTCATCTGTTGGGTAATTTTTTTTCTTTAATTTTATATGCTTCATTTTAAAAAACGCAAATTTACATATACAAGTAATTCCAAACATGTATAACATTTTTAATGTGAAATTTCGTATAAATTTATATTTTTTAATTAGTATTAATGTTCTATTTTCGTCGTCGAGTTTTATGAAGTAATTTAATAATGTAGATAACACGGACCATATAAAAAAGGTACACAGTTAACCTTGAAGTTGTCAATCTCTGATATAAGTGATATAGATAGATAAATTATAAATAATAATAATAATAATTCGAGTACCAATGTACAAATTCAAGTAGTCTAGTATGACTCTGGTCTCTTGACTAGTATGACTAATATCTTCAATACTAAGAGCTATTGTGTCAACAAAACCATAATGTATTAATATGCAGGACTTCAGAGACTATGGCACTATGCCATTAATGGCTATTGTCCAATAATATGTGACCTACCGTCAAAATTTGTCTACTGGAATTATTAATCATAGTGCTATAATATTATGTAGACCTACTATATGATAATATTATTTTATTTAATGAAATGTCCAATGATTGCAGATAAGATTATATTAATAACGGTTATTGTACTTGAGAATCTTGAGAGACGTCATACCCGAATGTGTTATTTCCATCTTACAAATGCATATCATATCAAAATATACGTTCAGCAGTTTCAAATTTGTGTATTTAACATAAATATTAGTGTAAATAATTAGTAAAAAGATTATTTGTGTCCTCTCATCGGTATTTTACGGAATTTTGATTTTTAAACACGTTGTACGAAAATTTAAAATATTAATATTTAAAAATGCTCATAATCCACTTAAAAATTAAAATATCATAAAAAAAAACCAACGAGAGAACACATAATATAATGTTCTTATTTTTAAGTTTAGCAATATATCATTTCATTCTAATATTTAAGCTAAACACACAAAATTGAAACCGCTGAACGTAAAAAAAAATATTATATGGTATTGTATGCGTTATTTATAGTGAGGCGGAGACCACTCATACGGGTATGACGTCCTCTAAAGTGTAGGTAATCTATAAACTATAGTCCATAACAAATTGAAAGCTGTTAAAACAAAATTTAGGAAAATATTTATTTTAGAAAGTTGTAAATCTCCATTAGTTTGTGTTTCCATATCTTGTGCTAAATATTTTATAAATAAATAATCATTGTGATTTTTAATTTCCATGCAGGCCTTTGTGAACTATTCGGTAAAAAATAAAAATGACTTCTTGAATACCTATTTCTATGGAAACCGTTAACTATGGCGTATTACCATGACATGTCAAATTTTTGCAAAATATAGATACAGCAGTTATCACCTCAATATGGAAAAAAAAATGCATCAAAATAAATAACGATTTCAGTTGATGGAAATTTAAAATTATTTATACGCCAAAACAAAAAACGAAATTTCGACAAAATTAAAAAAAATTGTACCCTTAATTAGTAAAAAAAAATTGCCAAATCTACAACTCTATATAAGGAAAAGAACTTTTTCGCTATCATTAAATTAAGTTAATAATATGGAATTGGTGTGGTTTTGCAAGGTGCATAAAATGTCAATAATTGAGTCGAAAACTCAATGGGAAATTCGTAACAATAATATAATGCTTCAACTTTGCTCACGAGCAGTGGCATAAACTGGGTGGTGCAAATGCAGCACTTGCACCACCACATCTTAAATGTGGTGGTTCAAAAGTATGTTTTTGCACCACCAGAAAATCATTGAAATATATAATATATAAACAGGAACGTCGTCTCAACTTAAAATAAATAAAAAGAAATTGTTGATTGTTTTTTTTATTAATATTATAATTATAAAGGTTTTACTGCTAAAATAATTCAAAATGTATTTATTATTTAAAGAAATATATGGAAAAATATATGGTTTATTGGGAAGGATTTTGCTTAGGAACTTAGATTATTAGTGTGTTGGAAATTATAGGTTGAGAATATGCCTCTGCACCACCAGAAATTGAACCCAATTTACTCCACTGCTCACGAGGACTTATGACTAGGCAGTAGCTGCTTCGGAAACACTGGTGACAATTCCTTATATCAGTTATATCCATAAAAATTATTGATGAACGCCATTTTTGAAAAATATCTTTAAGACCTTAAATCGACATTTTTATGACAAGGTACTTAGGTCAAAATATGTTGACGGAAGGTCACATATTTGTAACACATATAAACGTTTTCGGTCATTTGTCCAAGTATAATATTAAATTGAGTGTTGACATAACTGCAAGATATTCCGCAATGCATTTAAAAAAAAACAAAAGAATAAAGCACTAAACTTATAAGTTATAACCATGGTTTAATATTTTAAATCATCAGCTGACCACCATGTTATCATCATATTATTATCCTGCGTTATCATCATAAAGTAATCACTGATTACGGAGCATATGATTTTCACTATCGTGTGTATTTATTTTATATGTAAGTCGAAGTATTGAACTCTTTTGTAGATGTCTCGTTACTCGTGAACATGGGTAATTCTTATTACGTATTTAATATGTTTCTTCCTTTAAACTGATTGTTTAATTCCGACTATTTCACTTGTAAAAAAAGTAAAAATGTTTTCTTCAGTTTAGATTATACTTAACTTAAAAGAAATCGCCCGTTCACGTGTTTTTTAGACGAGAATAAAAAATTTTAAAAAAGATATATAACTTAAAGTTCTCTAAAAAGTATTTAAAAGCAGTTTAAATTTCTTCTACTTTTATTAGTTTTCATAGAAAAAAATTGAAATGGCTGCAGATACTCTACGTGTTCTAAGGTAAAATATTAATTATTTTATTAATTGAAATAGCATTATTTACTTGAATATTTCTATGATATAATCATGTTGTTTAGGAAAAGATCATTAGAAGAATATGATGACGATTATAAACCTTTGTCAAAACGAATGCACAGTATGTATTTAAAGGATGGTCCACTTGCCGGTGAAAACCATTTGGCAGTCACAAACGCCTATGGTGTAAGTATTTTTATTTTTTTATTTGAATGTCCTTTAATGGAAGTCTTTATTTGTGTATGCAATAATTATGAACCTAAAACATACTTTATTTATATAAGTTATCGTTTTTATATAATTTTATATAATTTAATAAAATAAATGATACTTGATTGTAATTTAAGGTTTTACAAAGAATATTTCAAGGTTAATTCTAAAGAATAGTTTTTAATCATCAGTATAATATCAATATATACTTATTTGGTTATAATTATTCATAATTTTTTTATTAATAAATAACACCATACTTTCATATGTATATAATAATATTAAAACTAAATATTTATTTAAGGTTGCTATAAAATTAAAAAAATTAAATTAATTTTGCTTAAATAAGTTGTATAATTTGAAATAAATTGTTTTTAGTTAATTATAATATTATAAAGTAAAATTTCTATTTGAAATACTTATATTTTTATGGTAAAATGAGAATATTTAGCATACTTTTACTAGGTAACTTAATGTCTTTAATAACAGTATAAATTATGAAATTTATGATAAAAAATAGGCGTTGAAACCAAAACTATTAAACATGCCTTTAAAGAAAAACATATTTCACAATGTATTACTATTAATCAATTTAAATTCTATTTAACTGTTATTTTTATTTTTAAAATTCTGATTTTAATTTATATTAAATATTAAATTTTTAGGATAAAATTAAAAATCTTCATTAAGTTAGTAAGTAGAATAAGGTATACATCAAGTATCAAATTAAATCTAACTACTATCAGATTTATTAGCAAAATAAATTTGCTAAGTGTACCTCACAACACCAAAATATGAGTTCTACAAATATGTTTATTTATGTAATTATTATGTATTATAGAGAATATTAAATGTTTTAGTTAATAATTTTAAGCAATTTCTAATATCTTATAATTCTAATTTTTATCTTTAAAAACTAATTTTTAGAATGCATCTACATCAACACAGTATAACCAGCAAACAGCTACTGATTACAGTCATTCAAATGTAAATAATCAACAAAGCATTAGAGTTGAAGACACACAAAATTTACATTATGATCCAGATCTGACTTCTGATCAAAATCCTTACTACTATGAAAGCAACAGATTATTATTTGACCTTCATGTTGAAAGGGTTCATCGTCATGGTCAATAATAATTTAAATTTAAATAATACATGATAAATATTTGTTTTTCCTTAAAAATAAAATATTTACCGACTATAGTCCCTCATGGTATAACATCATATTATAATAATATGTCAACTTTATTTGGCTGTATTATAACTTTAACTTAGTGTTCATCTGTTTATGTTAATTTTAATAGGTAATGAATAAATTGTATTTTTAAGAATTTGTTGATATCATGTTTCCTATTTTAGCCATTTGTAGGCATAATAATAAACATTTTAGTTTTAAGTAACCAGATGGATTATTTTGTTAAGAATAGAAATTACATTTTTAATATTAAAATAATTCTTTATATATTTAAGTAAATCTAATTACAGTAATTTACTTAGTAAAGTAAGCTAAGTTAACTACAATTTATTTGTTTTTTTTTTTTTTTTTTTTTTTTAATTTATTCCCAGGGGCCAATTCAAAATATATGTCGTTGTTGTGTGATTCATTAGTATTAAGTTAGTATTTGCTTATTTTTGTTGCTCATTTTTATTTGTATTTATTGTAATATGTATATTTATTTTTATTTTTTTTTTTTGTGTTTCTCATACCCATAAATTGTTTTAAAAAGTATATAAAATATAAATTCATAAAAATCAACGCTATTTAACAATTACCAATTTATTGCTGTATTATTGTGTATTATTTATTTTTAATTTGTTCGTTAAAACTATTTGGATAACGTAAAATTTGTAATACATTAATTTCCAAGTATGTAATATAAATAACATTAATAAAAACTTTAATTTTTTATTATATACATTTACAATCTGTATATAGACAAAAAATCCAAAAAACAAATAGGTAAAATAAGAGACATATAACTTCAATAAAGTGAGCGCAGGGAAGCTATTCAGTGATATGACTCATCTTACACGATTCGGCTAAAGTTTTAGTTATAAAACATTTTTAATCTAAAAGATCTTGACACTAACGTTTCTTAAGACGGCAAAAGAGGTCGTCAAAAATATTGGCTGTGTACTATTTTGCTATTAATGGATTTGGATGGTAAAGTAATCTGGTGATAGTTAAAATGAGGTTTTCATTCATTTTTGTTTGATTTTTTTGATTTTACCTTTACTTTCTTTAGATAAACAAGTACCTACATTAAATTTTGATGGCATCTGTTAACTTGAGAATTCCCAAAGTGACCTTCCTAAAATATTAATTAATGATCCCTAGTTATATTATTCAAAAAATTTTGAGTAAAATGTTTACTGAACCAATCTTAATATTACAAAGTTATGAAAATTACCTATACTATTTTAAATAACATATTACTTATGATAATAGTAAAAAATTATGTAAATTTTATTTAATTGCTTACTACTTAGTTGTTCTATTGATCACAAAGTTACTATTGGAATATGTTACAAGTTCATTTGGGTAATGTGAAATGTGAATTAAACATTTAAAATTTCATAATATTTTGTTACCTATCTCTTGGTTTTAGCAACTGTTGAAATATGTATGACATTTATTTATTGTTTGTTACTTGGTAGTATTATTATTATAATTTTTAATGTTTCATAATATGAAGCACATTTTATACTTAAATGTTATTTAATAAAATAAAATAGAAAAAGTTATATCACATACAATTTAAAAAATAAAACATGAATGTGGACAAAAATAAAATAATCATGGATCATAATTATCAACATAAATGATTGGTTGGTATAGAATTTAAATTTATTAAGTTATAAAAATACTTTATTTCTGACATAACTTTCTAATTATTAGATAGGTTTGGCAATACCTAATAGCGACCCAATGACAAATTAATATGAACAGTTAAACAAATATCAAAAAGTGAATAGGTACAGCAATAAAGAAATCTAATGTATTTTCAAAGCCATAGTCATAGATAAGGAATATTAACCAAGCAGATTAATTCAAAATTAGGTAATCGTTTTCACATAATATTATTTATATATATATATAAAAAAATGTTATGCTTAATTGATGTATTTTATGTTGGTAATTAAAAAAAATATAGGTTAGGTATCTATTCATTATAGAAATTGAGTACAAATAAAACACAATTCATCATTGAATAATTATTAACTTTTTTTGTAACAATACAAACAATAGGCAAGTACCTACCTAATATGTATAGTTTTTAATCTAATTGGTAGGTAGGTACCTATTAAAATAATAATAAAATAATAAGTAGGTAGTGATTTAAAAAATTAGGTATATTGAAAATATTAGTTAATATTTTTTTTTACCATTGAATATTAAAATTATGAAAATTTTCAATACTAATATGTAAGAAAATGTAATTCATACTACACAAATACCTACATTACAATAACATACATTTTTAGTTTTAAAAATATTTTTATCAACTTTCAATAATAAGTAGGTAAGTAAATATTATCTAAATTTTATCTTATTTGGCATTATTGAGAAAACTATTTTAATATTATAGAAAACTTTTTTTCTAGATTTTTTTTCAGCAAAGCTGTCTACTATATCATCATAAATATAATTTAGTCTTTAGTCTATGGTTAATGTCTAAAGTTAGCTGTATTAGCGAGCAGCGACTACGGTAGTCGCAGTCGGTAAAATAATTAATAGACTACTGTCTACGCCCTTACCTCTCATGTGTAAATTTCATATCATATCATAAATTAATTAATTTATTTTTTGTTAATAGTTGGTAGTCATCGCCGTTTGGTGTGCCTAACTGATCCTTACGAAGAAATGTTGATATTTGGAATTTTATATTAGGTGTTCTTATTTCTTCGCACTCACCACTCTGGCACTACGACAACTGCAATAGTCTATAATATTTAATTATAATTATTATCATTTAGAATAACTGAGAATTTCACTTGTTAACCTATAAATAATTACAACAGACTAATATATAGAAACGGAATGCATTTTTTATTGATATTTATTATATTATATAGACATATTTTATAATGGAAATGGTTTTAGAAATAATAGGTTCCAAAGAATTATATGGTTAACGCAAAGTAATTCTAAATTCTGACACATGTCAGGATCATCAAGACTTTAAGGGGGCCCCCAAAAAATATTCAAACTTGGGGCCTGGGGCAAAATGGTCCGTTGCCCTTCTTCTAAATGGCCCTTGTAAGGTCATATAAAAAGACAAAAAAAAAAAACATTAAATTTATAACTTTCAACAAATTGTATGTACCTACCTAATGAGTAATGAATTCATGTTAAAATATAATTTTTAGACCTTAATATTTTTCAAGATAATGAGTATTTATACAGTTACTATACAATTATTATAAAGTTTACTCGAATAATAAAAATCTCATACGTGTTTGTTCCTCCAATAAAACAATAAAAATATACCTAACAGTTGTAAACAGTGTGAAGTGTGAACACAACTCATAAGTACCTACAGAGTTGGTATGTACATTATTAGTAGGTAGTTAGGTAATATTATATTTTAAGCAACATAGCAAGACTTTATATTTTTAATGGTCAGATTCTTCAATTGGCGATGCTAAAAGTCAAAATGATTTTAATGATAATGTGAGTAAGTTCGTGTTGTTTCTGCACAGACTTCATTCAAACAGGATCTTTTACTATCGTACCATGTTATTTATATTAGCTTAGTAGTTAGTAAGAACTAAGTTACATGACAAAATAAATTTTACATGTAAGTATTTAGGAATTTATATTTTTAAAATGTGCGTTTAAACATTTGTAGAAAATTTTAAGTCAATTTTAATCGATTTTGTTAAATACTGATTTTGTGAGAATTCCCGTTTTTTTTTTTTTGTTATTGTTTACGTTTTTTTTTTTTGATAATTTTGAAAGGTATTTGGGATTTCTACAAACTATATGGTCTAAATACTCTAAATCCAATTTACTTCCACAAATCTCTATCGAATTTGAATATTATAATATGGAGCATTTTTCGACCTATAAAATATACCCTTGGACAAAAAAATCATTAAATGGTGTTTAATAGTGTTTTCTAACACTTTTAGGTTTAGTGCTTGACAATACGCATTTAAATGAGTGAATAAACTAAACTTACTATTTAAATTTTCTATTTTATTATTAGTTAATAATTATGCATTTTATTGTTTGACGTTTATTATACGTTCTATATTATAAAATTGACTTATCTTTAATATAGTACTCTTGGTCGAGAAACAATCTACAAAAATATTTTTTTTATCATTTCATTTTAACGGATGTTTTTCTTATCATGAGATCATTGTTATTGTTCACGGTGATCTACAATTTATAATTAACAAGACCTAAGGCCTAAGATTTTCGTAGTTTCATGTTTTAATCTTTAATTTAAAATAATTTGTTATACCTAATTAAAGAACGTTATTGAAAAAGTTATAAGCTACTAATTATCCAGGTTAACTACTTTAGTTTGTTGTTTTTAATGCTAACTATGGTTTTAATGTTGAAATATCTTTATGTTTAGATATTCTTTAATAGTTTAATTTAAGATGGACGACCACCACATTTATGATGTTAACTTCACCGAAGAGATTAACAATAAGATGCAAGTGCCAAAGAGTATTCGAGTAAATGGAGATATTTCTAATTATCGGTCATCAAACTACTACACGGACGATAACAGCCGATTTGGTGACAATTTTGACATGAGAGTTCCAGAAAAAATTGTTCTTTTAGGTAAATTTCACTGCGATTTCCTAAACATTTTTTTTCTTTTGAAAAGTCGAGTAACTTGTATTATACTTTTGGTATTATTATTTGAAATAGATACTTAGGTATAAATTTTTATTTATTTGTAAGTATGAAATTTTATTTTATAGGTTTAAACGTTTCTGTATAAAAAAGTTAAATTAACAGCAACCATGTTTATTAACTTTAAAAAATTATGAAAAATTACTTACATTTTCTTAATTTTTTAATTTTTTATGATGTTTACTGATTAAAATATAATTTCATATAATTTCTGATTTATATTAGTTATGTTTTAACTTTGACTAACATAAGATAATATTGATTCTTAAATTCAAAACCTGTATTTACTTATTTCTGCATAAACACGAATATTTTAGTCTAGAGACTTTGTATTTTTTGTTATAGTATTTAAATGCATACAGTGATCGCCTTTGAGCAGGCCCTGTGTATTTTAATGAAACCAGTAATGTTATACACTTTATAAAGTATAAATGTATTATATGCATCATTTATAAGTATTCAAAATATAGAATCTAAGTATAGAATAATATCCAGATATAAACCTAATATACTTGGTATTAAATTTTAAATAACTTCCACTGAATAATAATTTTATTTTTTTAATATGGTAGCATTATACTAGAATTATTTCTCAATTCTGATCAATTTAGATTTTGAAGCCAGTAATTTATCAATTTATTTATCTGTATTCAATTATACAATATGAAGTATTAATATTCTCTAGTTTAAAGGACGAGAAGATTCTTTTAAAATAATAATAATTAACAGATATTTTGGTTGTATTTGAAATTTATTCAGTGTCAAATTGAGACTGATCATAATAAAATTAGATTCAGTGCTTATAAAAGCTTTCTTTTATGTATGTATAGTTTTGATATAAACTGTAAAGCTCTAAGTTTACTGATCATTTTTGTATTTTGTTAAATTTTAAATATATACCAGTGTACTATACTTTACTTATTAAAAGTCATATTCTATTCTGAAATTTTCAGTGTTTAATCCTAGGTTTAATTAATGTTTTTATTGATTGGAATTGACAATTAACATAATATAGTTCCATTTACTTTGAATTTAAATTATTATAAATTATTAATTTTAGCATTCTTTATGAAATCAAAAATGTTATGACATGTTATCATGTAGGTAATAATCAGCATCAGGGATCTTCATCAAAACCAAAAGAATTTGCAATTGATGATTTGATCATTCCACAGCCACCTACTGAAGAATTTATCCGTGTTCAGGTAAAATATAATTGCAATATTAATATACCATAATAATACTATTAATTGGTTAAAAATATAAATTTTAGACTCCACCACAAAAAATTACCTTGTCAAGACATTATTTCCCTTCTGTGTTGGATGATTTTGAAATAAAATCTATGAATACTGAGGAAAGTGAAGAATCAACTCCGAATAATTCTGAACCAGTGACTAATGCTGTGCAAATAAATCCAAAGTATTATAAAAGTTTTACTATTAAAGTTTGTTTTACATAAAACATATCACACATCTCTATAAAATGACACTATATTGAATTTTAGATTTGTATTTAATTATTTTTACTCCTGCTCCATAATTCCATTATTGTAGGTGATGGCCATGTACAAATAACTAGAATATAAATATTTATTATCTAATTAAAAACAGAGAATTTTATATATGATATTAGATTAGATATATTTATATATTTTATTTTAATTTAATATGTATTTATTAAATAATTATATTAAAAAATTACATATATTTATTTGTATCTTATTTTTAATTAAAATATTTATAGCTTTATGAAGCATTTTATCATTGAAAAAGTTCTCTGTATTGTTTAGTAAATTTAATTTAAAAGGGAGTTATTGGGAACATTATTTGTTAGAAAAATTATGATAGTAAATATCAGTATAGTGTAATCTTATATTATATTCTAATTAACGTACAATGGTGTTTGTGTTATGTTGATATGTAAATTATAATAGAACACTTTGAAACCAAATTTTTTTAATTCATAAGTAATAAATATGTTTCTAATTAATGTATTTATTTATGTGATATTTTTTTATTTTTTTAAGTATGAGCTTTTTCAATACAAGTGTTAGTGAACCAATGACAATATCTGAAGAATTAGCCCACTTGCGTCAACAGATGGGCCGTGTGTCACGCCGAGTTATTGAATTAGAACATACAGCTTCACTACCTTTTTATGTCAGAGAGAAAAAATTAATTGTCACATTAATATGCAGTTATGTTGTTTTTAAGTTTGCATCATGGTTAACCAGACGTTAGAAGCATTTAATTTATTGTATGTATTCCAATTTTTTGTGAATGCCATATTGATACCATACATTATTTTCATCGTTATGTATATTAATTTATATATTACTATAACATATACCAAAATATATGTATATAAAAAAAAAAAAAATAGTGAATCTTAAATTCACAGTTCAGTTACTTTGTAAAATATTTTTGAACTTTTGTGGGTTGGCTACTTTAAAAATGTTATTGTTTTTAAACAACTCAATATAATGCAGTAACACATGTATAGCGTGTGCAGAAATGGAAAAAAATAGTAAAATAGAACTTTTAAAATTTAAACAGTGATTACTTTTTTTAATTTGTTGCAACATTTTTTTTTTTAAATTAATTACACACTTTATATTATTGTATAACATGTATGATATGTGTGTTCACATATGAAAAATCATCACAACAATTTAAAATTAATGTGTACTATAGTAATAATAATTTTGTTATAAGTAAGTCTAGAAATGCTGATTTATATATTTTAAAGACAAGACTGCATCGTTATTGAGTAGTTTTTAGAGATTGTGATGTATGACTATCTTGTTTTTATAAAAATTTTAACATGATGTCAAAACTAACTTAATTATCTCATATTATAATGTATTGAAAATAAAATATATTAAAATATCAACATCAAGTTATTGTTGTTTTTATTCAACTATGCTATAAACAATTTGTTAAAATATTGTTTCTGATCATTAAGATGAGTATAAACTAATTGTTATAAATGAATAAGAAGGGAGTAGAAATTAAGCATATTAATTAGAAACTAAGTGATTTTTATAAATATTTTTAAGTAGAATATTATTTTAACTTACTTTAAGGGAGCTTGAGTAGAGCAATACTTACCTCTAATTTGGATTTAGGTGATTAATTGACTAGTTTGATAACTGATAATGGAAAGATTTTAGCAATACAATTATTTCAATACCTAATTACCAAATACCTTTTTAGTTAATTATGAAAAAAAAACACTTAATTTTTCGCACTAGAACGATAATTACAAATTATTTCAAAAGTATCTAATCAATAATTATTAACTTTGAGAATATCAATAAAATATTCTATTTTCCATAATTTTAATGTTACAGGTATACAAAGTGTAAGAATGTTGTGTTATCCAATGTTTACAAAGCTTTATTACACACCTACGTTCGTTGAAGATTTTAATAAAATATTAATTGAAACTATACATTAAAGCAGTGACAAAAAGGAAGAGAAAATACAGTAAAACAATAAGTAAATAAAAAATACGATTTACTCATTAAATTAAGAATTAATTTAATTTTCATGTTACCTACTATAAAAAAGATAGATACTTATCACGTTAAAAATAAGTTTACGCAGTATTATTATTTACTAAAAAAATTCTATTTTCATATTGATTTAAGTTTGATTTAAATAATTATAGCAAGTTATAACTTTGGAAGCCCATAATTAAGGTGTATCTCAATAAAATATCTTAGGTTTTTTTTTTAATTTACTGATTTTGCATGTAAATACAGCAAATATCTATTGATACCTATTTAAAATTCATTTTTATTAGTTTCCTGGATTCTGTAAGGATATGATGTAGAAGTAGATTGTAGATGATTGATGAAAATACATGGATATTATTTAGGAAGTCACTAAATTAGGATCTGTAGGTAAGGTATATTTTGTCAATTTTTTTCAAATTTTGAGTCGATACTTGTATGCTGAAATCACAACATTACAATAAATTATAAAATATATTTTTTCTTAATTTTTTATTCTATAATAATACCTTATTGGCAAGATTTTCAATGTTAAATGTTTAAAAATTCGTATGCGCTTAGTACTTCTATGTTTATATATTTACTGAAAAGTTTAAAATACCTACATTGAATTTAAGTTTATAGATACCTACCTACGGTAATTTATGATTATTAAAAACTATTTTTAATAATATCGTAAACGTACATAAGTAAGCTTATCTAAGTAAATCGTTTTATATGTACATACGCATACGTCACCCACATTCAACCATATTAGGTACCTACAATGAAACATATAATATGTTATCGATAAAATGATAATATTTTATTATTATATTATACTGATATAAAGTATTATTTTCATTCCTCTTCGGTTCTCGGTCATTGATATTCATTAAAAATTTAAAAATATTTAGCATTTAAATTTTAAATCCTAACTTATTTTAATTTAATGCATTTTCGTATAGATAGTTAAGAATCATTGATATCGGTGTACATATATAGCGCCCCAAGTTTGAAGTCAGGTAAATGTATTTTAAAAATAAGTACATATTTTTATAGTAGCTTATATAGTGGTACATATTATGCGTCGTTCTTTTAAACTCTGCATGTACATCCGTGGCGACAGTGGCGTGGTTGTGTGTGTGTGTGTGTGTGTATATATGTGAGAGATGAGGGCAAATATTACCTTTGCCCTTCTAGATATGTCAACATTAGAAATCTTAAAAAATTTTTTTACAAAATAAAGAATGCTATACATTTAACATACATAAATAAAAAAAAAATGTTTTTCTTAAAGTATTGTAAATTTTTTTATAAACTCTTATTTGTATATAATTATGTGCTTTAATGACAAGGCTAACTATAATTTGTTTCAAACTTACATAAAATGAGTTTCAAGAAAAAAAAACGATAAGTCTCATAAATAAATTATATTCCTCCTAGTTTTTTTACTCAGTTACGTCACATATAGGGTGTCCCCGATCTCTTATTTTTTATTTTTTTGACCTTTATTTTTTCGCGTATTTGTGTCCCACTCGAAACTTAAATAAATATTACACCAATATCATATCCTTAGTTGAATAATTGTTATAGCTACACTATAAAATGATTTATAGTTAGTTAAATCAATTTTAATTGTCGATAAAATGTTTGTATTTTATGCATTTATATTAAATAGATAATTTAATCCTACCCATTATGATACAAGTAAAACAAAATATCATATATAAATTTTTACAGCAAAAATATTGATTTTTTTATAGATTTTTCGTACGACAATATTATAGTAACATGTACACCAGACTATTGGGACATACTTTGTTTACACTACAATAAGTATCAATACCTACCTACTTAAAGTATTATATAAATAGTTTTCCGTTCCACCTTAAATTGCAATAAGATCCTCCTACAATAGTCATTTATCATTTTATTATATTAAAGTAATCAGTACTAATAGTACTAGATATAGGTAAGATACATATTGCGGCGCCCTTGAATATAGTACAGAATTAGGCGTATACGATGCTATATTGTATAGACGAAAACGAGAGACAACGTAATATTTTTTTAAATATATCTGCCTATAACGTTTACCATAATAATTTTGCATGTGGAAATATGGCGAAAAAAAAACAATTCCAATCGATTGAAAAAGTTGCGTACATATATTTTTTTGGAAAAAAAAAATTAAACAATCATATTGTGTATTGATACTAGCTTACTACTCGCGATCAATCTATAATATTACTCACGGTCTAGCACAATGTATGCAACTCGCTGAAAATGTAAAAAAAAAATAATTGTATTATATACCTCTTTATTAATTTTTATATGAGAAGCGTGCAATATATATATATACGATAGCATATCTTATTTTTATACCATTGGACGAGTAATAGCCGTTAAAGTCGATTCTCAAGGCTAGTGTTCCTAGACCTCGTATTGCGCTACCCTTAAGTTTTATCAAAAAGTCGCAGAGTTCCATCTGAAAAACAAATGACAACTTTAAATCCTTTTGGACATTTTCTCGTGAACAAATAGTTTTGTTTGTAATGTCGACGATAATCTTTCAAATTCATTCTTTTACAAAGGGGTTTTTTTTATTTTTAAATTCCCGGGAAGATTAGATACTTCACAAAAGCGTCTTATAAAGAGAGAGCGATAAAAGTATTGGATCGATAAGTAAAATTAATTATAATAGGTGTGGCAATGTTCCAGTTTTAACTACATGTTAATTAATATAATGTAAGTTATTTAAATAATATGTAAATTCTTTTATAGTTGTTTAATCAAACTGAAAAGTCTGCTAAATTCACTTCATAAATAATAAAATGTATTTAATATTTTTATTTATAAATATTTTATTTTATTTTAGAAAATTATGATATATTGTACAAAAATTTTAAAATAGGGGAAAACTAGCATACATTTCATGATAAAATTGTATTTGTATATAGGTGTATTAATATTAGGCATTTACGTTTTGTATCATAACTTATACATAGGTCATAGGCCATAGGGGCATATACTTTTTTTAACTATTAAATAAATGGATCGAAAAGTGAAAACATGAAATAAATTAATTTGATTTCAATATTATTATACTATTGTTAGATACATATTTTCTTAGACACTAAATATTCTTATGAAAACGTGAAAATTAAAAAAATGATAAAACTATGAAGTTTTTATTGTTTTGAACTTATATCAGATTTTATCAGATAGTGATAAGACGTTATATGCGCGAAGAAATTATTTTTATGACTTCTATAATTATTTTAAATAAAAAAATAGTTCCATATGGTTATATATTGTTATATTTCATAGATGCATTGGTAACGATTGAATAGAAATAGCATTAAATATTATAAATGATTATGAAATAGGTATTGAACTAAAAAAAACTGACATATTTAATGCGTAGCCACCGGATGAAACCTGCGTCATCATATTATCTTGATAGGTGTTTAGGTTATCAATACTTTAATTGTGTTTGAGTAATTCAATATAGAATAATAAATAGTAAATTAGGGTAAATATTTTATACATTTAAAAATGCAATTCCCAGGCATCCCGATATCAGTTAGGTTTCCCGCTATACCTCAAATATTTTATTTACATTCACAGCTGGTGCGTGATAGTGCTCATGATAAATTATAAGTATCGTACATTATCCCAATTGAATTATGCCTTTACTTTTGTTTATAAATATTTTATATAATTAAACGAATGTTTTATTTTATCACCTCAAATTGTTTTTTTATATTTTTGAAATTGCCCATAAATGCGTTTATTATTTCTTCGTGACGTGCGTCGTGCATTTTGGTCTTAAAGTCTTCGGATAACAATTCCGTCGTATCAACAAAACAATAAAATACATTAGAAAAAATATTGACATGTGTTTTCAACGATTTGACATACGCGTGTAAAGACTGAAACAATATTATACACTCACCAACATTTTAATATTTCAACAAAGTTCATGGCTGTTGTTCATACACAATAGTCTGAACGACACTTCCAAGGACTAAGTAAAGTCGTTATAGTCAATAATTCAGTATAGATCAATATTTTGTTTCAAGTCCAAAGTAAATAGGTTTTTTATACGGATTTTAACTTAACAAATATTTCCGATGAAAATAAAAATTGAACATTATCTTTAAAGTTTAAAGTATCGAGCATCTTTAAAAATTACAACTCACTGCTATATTAAGTGTTTATAATATAGTGATATATTCACATACACACATACTTACATTAATTCATTATA